TTGTATCAGAAAGGTTAATATTTTCTAAGATTTCCTTGACGTTTCAACGTCGATCACTCAATGCCACCTCTTCCACAATCGCAACAATATCTTCCGTTAAGACCTCCACTGGTCGACCAGTTCTTGAATCATCGTCAAGGCACTCCTGTTCCATTCGTAAACGTTTTGCCCATTCTTTCACCACAGAATACGAAGAACTTTGGCCGTACACACCATCCAGCCTTTCTTTAATAATTTTAGATGCTAACCCTTCTTTTGTCAAAAACTTTATGACCGCTCTATACTCAATAAAAAACTATTTGATGCGAGACTTCAATTTTTTTTTGCAGCCTACTAAGATGTATATTTAAAAGAAGACAAAGTTTTATCGTGATACTGCATCTGCATCTATGTCAGGCTGGGAAATTTTGGTGTTAACCTCGTAAATGCCGTCAAGATTCTGAAAGAGAAACTACATTTTTTGGTTAGAACAGGGCGATAAACCAACCATTTTTTGCTGCTTCCTATGTTGGTTATTGTATTGTTCGGTTATGTCCACTATTCGTCCTTTCGCGCTGACTACAGGAGAAAGGACATTCCCGTGGAATCTTTCTCAAGAAGTGAACTTGAAAAATAAGTACCTAAAATTCAAATTTATTATAAAGGTAGAGTTAGAAATTTTAAAAATTCACTTTCACTTGGTCCATTCAGCTCGCCAATGGCGGACTTTTATAGGTAAAAAGTTTTGGTTAGTTAGGTTTCTAGTGTCTAATTGTTTTGTCTAATTGGTTTCTATCTACACCTATTTTTAAGTTGTCTGTAATCTCTCCTAATGTAATGTATGTTTTTAACTCGCCGGGTCTTCATTTTTGATTAGTTATTTTGTACTTGGTTTAGCTGTATTGCTTTAGCTACGTTCGGACCTGTTGTTCTATACCTACGGAAGAATCGAATCTTCCTTTGGATGGAGTGAAGGTAGGTGATTCTCAGGACGATATTTTTTTTTATCGCTGGTAATATCTGAGATTCCAAGTACTGCATATTTACCTAGCTACCTATTTATCTATTATCTATTGTGATTTAATTTAATTGGGATATGGATTGTTTATTTTGTGTTATTTTAAACCCATTGTGACAAAACTTTTTTGAGTTTCGTCATTAAAAAGACGTTTCTTCAGACTTCTTAGTATCAGTTGCTCTTGTCGTCTTCATCAAAACATTAAATGTTTATCCTTCCCATTTGTTTTAATGGGGTTTGATGTTATTTTCGCAGAAGTCAATGGTATCTTAGCCAAATCAAACAATTCATTTGCTCTAGCGTTAAATCCTTTATTAAGTGAATAACTATAAACAGTTTTTACAATTTGTTTCAACAACGCCCTAATACCGTTCACTTCCCGTGACAAATGAAAACTAAATTTAAAAAAATATTAAACCCGTAATTTATTTGTGAAAGCACTTTACCAGTATGAATAAAATTGTTGTATATATAATTATCGGTTATGGACGTTCCTTAAATCGCCTTAATGTCGCTCTTTATTTGTCCTATACACTTCAGGAAGGAAGAAACAAATTTATGACCGCAGAAATACCGACGATCGAGACAAAGAACGCGGCGCATTCACTCTACCCTCTCCCTCTAATAGCGAGTGAAAAGTAGGTCGATTGCAACGAAAGAAGATGCGGAAGAAAAAAACAAAAGTCGACGGTTTTTCGTTTCGCTCCGGAGGAGCACTTTCTCTTTTTCATGCCAAATTAACAGCGCTCGACTGTTGTTCTCTCTACGCTGGCGCTTTGCCGCTCGCCTCCGGTGTGCACTTTCTAACAGTGTTGCCGTTGCCGCGCAGTTGTACGCATGTACAGGAAGTCCTAAGTAGAGCATAGAGATCAGTGCCGTTGTGTCCGAAAGTCACCTGATAAGTCGTTGACGAATTGCCTAGAAACCTGTACTTGTCACTATTGAGGACGAGAAAAATCTGTAAATCCAATCACGTTCCATCTTGGGTCTAACCAACGCTATGCACAGTCCACCCGACTACTACACCAAAAATTCCAAATCAAAAATATTTTTATAAAAATTTATTATATTCATTATTAATGTCTGTAAAATAAATATCTTTAATTGAACCTTGTCTGCACTTTTTACGTGATCTATCAGGTTAGTTTATCCCATAGTGTAATGATGACGAAACATGCAATTTTATTTTTTTATTAGTAATAAAATTGTCAATTTACAAACAACAAATAGCATTATTCGGATTTCACCGGGTGTCAACACTAACTAGTACAATTTTCTACTCGGTACGATAATAGAGCAATCAGTCGTATTCATTTACTCGTTCCACCGACTTTCTTTGGGTTTGACTAAGACTGACATTTCACAGTGATAGATGTTTCGGCTAACTAGATTTCCTTCAAGTTTGAAACCTTTTCTTCACTTATGGTAAACATAACCTATATTCCGCTGTGAACTATATAATTCCGTTTTATTTAAATTTACCTTCGAACACGGTAATCAGCTTAGCTTATAGTAAAAACGTTTGCTTCTCGAATAACCTTGGAATTCCGATCTTATAAACTGTGCTCATGTCTCAAAGGCTTAGCGGAACGTTTAGTTGCCGACGTTCATGGAACGGACCATTATTGGTGTTGTGCCATTGCTTGGAGACGGTTATATTTTCAACTTTACTTCCGGTGAAGAAGCTGAAGTGGTTGGTGCTCTTTTAGAGCACCACTTGATATCCTATTAATCTTCTCACAGAAGTCACCCCACCGTCCATAGAAACCGTCTTTTGATGTTTAATTTAATGGTTATTTTGTATTTGGTACGATTCTTTTGTCGCGTACCCAGTTGAATTAGCCCGTTGTGCGCTGAATATTTTTTTTCAATATCATTTGCAATTTTTGTTTAACGCCAGTCTCAACATTAGTGGGATTGCAAATTTAATTTTTGTTTGTTTTTTTTTTGGATTTTTGAGCTGCGATACTCGCCAAGAGAAAATCTTTGAGTTTGGGTCACTCACAGTATCGGATTCCTGTCAAGGCAAGGCTGGTATAAACTTTGTAAAATCTTTCGCTTCGAATTTAAATTAAACTTTTCTTTTTAAAATTTTCAATTTTAAAATACTAGTATTGCTAAACATTTAAAGCTATCTTGGCAAACTTTTTCAAATTAACACACATAGGAAACACATTCAATTATCTAACTGTTTGTAAATACGCTAAGTAAATTTTAACTCATTAACATTCATCTCAAATCTTAAAATTATACTCTTTTACCATACTAGTAGTTGTTCTACTGGAACATTCCTCTGAAGCTCCCTAATAATTTCTTAGTCAAAACATCAGGCCAAGTGGCGCCCTCACGGAGCGCGAACAATAAAAAAAAGATACCACGATCTATAGCTCTCCGAAAATCAGTTGCCCTACGCTGCCCTCCAGAGTAAGTATATTTTCTATTGTGTTCCCATATATTTTGATATGCGCCACAAACACAATAGGATTGGTGCTTGTAACGTTACGTAGCTGGAAGTTGAAAAAATTAACGTAACCCAAAAATCTCAACCTTTTTGGAAGCATTACTTTAAGCGTTAAGAGTTTAATAAAAGGTCATACAAACAAAAGATAGAAAATTAAAAATATACAAAAAAATATATAAAATAATACGTTTCTGCAGTGGCATTAATAAAATTCATTTTATATAAAAAAATCTTAGAGGTTTTAGTTTTAAAAACGGACAAATTTTGGATCTTTTAATACGACTTATACTGATTAAAATACAGACGCTACCGATACAGTGTTATAATAAACAAAAATTTATTTTTATTTCCTTTTTTTAAGCTTTATTTGTCTCCTGCTACGTATTTATATTATTTTAAACTTTTATACTAATAATGCATCGAAACCGCCATGGATGAGAAGCCCCAACATTCGAAGTGTACTTAACACAAATAAGTAGACGTCCACAAAATTCCTTCAAGAGGACGTAAACATTTATAGTGCAAACACTTGGTCACCTGTCAATTATTAAACGAGCAGAAGCCAGGTTCGCCATTCTTTCTCGATTTCAATAAAGTTAACGTCAGCGAGTGACGAAGAAGAGCCAGTTTCTTGTCTGTAATGGCCGAGCGCCCCTAGTAGTGTTTTCCCACCATGCGCATGTCCTTATCGTGAACACAACCGTGATGCCAACCTGTCAAGTGGCGTGCGAAATTTAAATTTTGAATTTGCACGCACCTTCAAGGAACAATATATTGTCCATCTTTTTGCGTATTTTTAGCAATAATGCGTATTACTGCTTCAATTGCTCGTTGCTTGTGGATTGAAAATATCCGTTACACTTTGGCAATGCTGGAACTGCAGCCGAACGGTTACCGGCGACTGCATTTGGGTCATCCGACACATCAGTGCACGCGAGCGACAAAAGGAAAGTTATGGTTTCGAATACGATCCGGGATTTGATGGATGCGATTGCGAACAATGCATCATTTTCAGGCTCGGTAAATACAGACCCGCGGATCACTTTGATTCGTATGTCGCCTTTTTTTCTTAATACGGAGGCCCAAATAAAATGGAACCTCTATCAAATTAATTGCCTTACAGCAAAGCCAAACCCAAATAAGAAGAAGAATATGAATTTGTGATCCATGACAACATTCATTTTAACCCTCTACTAAAATTGGTACGTTTCTAGATGACACAAGCGGTGGGTTATAAGTTTTGTCTTGTGTTGTTAGAACGATCGGTGCAAACTAGAATAACGCCATGCGGAACGCGTAAAAATGTCATTGAAGATTGTGGTCTGCTTGCAACAATGTTCCACGTTCATTTTTCATTCCGGGAACAAGGCCACTGAGCCACTCCAATAAGTCTTGTAATTATACCAGACGTACCTAACGACCCGATTAATTAACGTTTTTTTTTAATGTACGTCGTTAGTGGTACAAGTAAAAGGCGGTTTTTCGTTTAACAACTAATCGATTAAGGTGTATTTATCTAACGCTCGGATTGCTTTGTTTCAGTTACTACCCCCACCCCGCCGCCCAGGCCCTGGATCCCATTAGCCAGGCCGACGACCAACAGGGCGACATGTAAGTTTTTTTTTATAATCTTATAATATGTGTATTGTTTCGAACTGAATAAACTGATTCTACTGGAACTGGTTGTGCAGCGTTATTTCGTTTTTTCAATCACATTGGGGCCAAATGCTGCACTCACTTTGATAAGTTCAGATAACCTAACCTCAAATCATGTGATGTGCTTGAAGTGAGCAAAATTAAGTGTGCATTTTGCACATAAAAATGCTTCTTGTTTGTGGTTAAATGTTAAGGATTTTATTATCGTAAAATTAGGTATCTTCACGGTGATGTGTTACAACGTATTGTGCGACAAGTACGCCACGCGTCAGATGTACAGCTACTGTCCGTCGTGGGCGTTGAACTGGGACTACCGCAAGAAGGGCATCCTCGAGGAGATCCAGCACTACGGCGCGGACATCATCAACCTGCAAGAGGTGGAGATGGACCAGTTCTACAATTACTTTCTGCCGGAGTTGAAGGTTCACGGTTACCACGGGATCTACTCGCCGAAATCGAGGGCGAAACACATGGCCGAGAGCGAGAGAAAATACGTCGACGGGTGCGCCATCTTCTATAGAACTTCGAAGTATGTGCCATCTCACCAACACATTTTTTTTTTCTATAAAAAGTCTTACAAAGATCGTCAGGGTGTTTTCCGTTATGCCTTCTATTTTATTCATCTTGCCTCGGTAAAAAAAAGCTCTGCATACTTTTCTGAACCGTAAACCAAACGTAAAAACTCCCTTTTTAAAATTAACAAAGTAACCTTGTTGCCTGTTTTTATTTCCGCCATTTTTAGTTACTCGAGCAGGACAGATAATTGAAAATCATCATCATTCACTCTCTTTTCAATTAAGTGAAACGTCACCTTTAAGAAACATGCGCTAGGTGCGTCACCTAGCGGCAATTTTTGGATCAAATACGAAAAATATAAAAATTTGTATCAATTTTTTTCAAATATCTTATATACTAGAGACACAAAGTGTAAATTTATTAAAATTGGACTGGATATTTATTTTGCCATATTTCCCGCGCGCGCTGTACAACAGACAGAAAATGGCCATAGTAAAAATTTTAGCCGCAGATGTGTCGCGCGTTTTGAGGTTCGGGCTTTTGGATCGGGTGAACGGTTTTCGGAAAAATAATTTTTTTTCTTGAACCCTTAATAACCCAAAATACATTTTTTCAAAATAAAAAAGGTGTTTTAAACCTATCGGAAACGTTTGATCGTTTCTGTGCCGTTGCTAAAGTAGTGGAAGGGAAGTTCGATTCCTAACATTGACCCGTATATTTCTTGATAAATATGGTAAATCCTTTTCCGATTACAGCGCCATCTAATGAGAATTCAAAAGAACACTGCATCCAAATCTGTAATAAATTACCTTCTCCCGCCGCCAGTACGTTTGTGCCAAGGTGGTGGGGTGGGGGATCATGATTGGTGTTATTGGACAATTTTATTATTAAATATTTAAAGTTTTTTTTGGTTTTATATACTCTTTAGGCATGTGGTATATCAATTTCATCCATTTTTAGAAAATAGTTCAATGAATCGCGCTGAATTGCTTATAAAAAAATATGACACTTGATTTTCAGATTTACTTTGCTCAAAGAGCACCTAGTTGAGTTCAATCAGCTGGCGATGGCGAATGCGGACGGTTTGGAACACATGCTGAACAGGGTGATGCCGAAGGACAATATCGGGTTGGCGGCCCTGCTTCAGACCACGGAACAGGCGTGGGACAACGGTAGGTTTTATCGACGCACCTGGTGCGATACCATGGGGCACAGTTCGTTTTTCTTTTTCAGCTCAGCCCGACACGCCGTGCGTGCAGCAACCGATCCTGGTGTGCACCGCGCACATACACTGGGATCCCGAGTTCTGCGACGTCAAATTGATCCAGACGATGATGCTGAGCAATGAGTTAAAGTCGATCCTCGAAGAGTCCGCCCAATATTTGAAGACGCAAAACATCAACGTTTTGGATCCGAGCAATATTCAGCTGGTAAGAGACCACCACCCTCACGACCCTAAGGATTTTCGGAAATTTTTTCTGTTTGTATAGGGATGGAGTGTTCAGTTGATTCTAATTTATGATTAAAACGGTGCTTTTCGTATATTTTAGTAAGAATTCTTTTTGTGGCTTCCTAAATATATTTTTTCAGATATTTGTCTTAAAGGATGTTGCAAAATTGTGCAACTTTCCACCCCTGAGTAACTGAACTCGTCCTACTAACGGTCATTATATTAAATTTTTATTAAATTCCCAGAGGACGAATTTTAGGCCATGTTATTTTTTGCGATTTTCCATATTTGTTATCTGCATTTATGAATGAAAGAGGCGCAAAAATGTTTTCGTCCTTTAATGGCGTTAGAAGACGGTACAAATATCAAACACTTGAGGAATGAGTCGTGGTAGTGTATAGTATCATTTACAATGCCCCTTTGAATCAGTTAATCAATTGAATCAAAAATCCAGCCTAGCCAGAAAGAAGATAACGAAAGAGATGACTATAAAGATTTAAGGACTTTGCTCTCGAAAATTAAGGATTAAGGACAAAATTAATTCCCAGACATAAAAAAAAGAGTTGTTTTGCCATACAATGTTGGAAAAATTAACGGGAATTATGCTTATTTAAATAATGTTCTTTGGAACGACGTTTCAGCGTTTTCAACTATCTGCTATTTTAAACAACCTCATTTCTTCGAAGTTGGTTTAAACAGTAGTGGTTATCTAAATTTTCTTCAGAACGAATTTGAAAACTATATGGATCCATTGGAACAACTAAGGAACACCTCGTATTTCAACAAGATGGCGCTCTCCCGCATTGTGTAGCATTTGTTAAAGAATATTTAAATCAATCAGAGGTTTAATGAATGGATTGGAAAAGATGGAACAATAAAATGGCAACCCAGCAGTGTTGACCTGATGCCGATGGATGCATTTTTATGGGGAACTCTGAAAGATCCGACTAGAACAGAAATTCAAATTCTATATATCTGCAATTTTACTGTAATTTATTATCATATTCATATACCGGATAATCACCCCCTTGAACTTTTTTATTTAACGTATGGGAAAAAAGTCACAGTTCTAAGAATAGTAAGCTATGTGCGATATATTATATATATATATATATATATATATATATATATATATATATATATATATATATATATATATATATATATATATATATATATATATATATATATATATATATATATATATATATATATATATATATATATATATATATATATATATATATATATATATACAGTGTGTCCAAGATAAGGATGCACAGCATGGGGATCTCGGAAACTATAAGAGATACAGTGTCGGTTAAATTAGACAAAAGTTGCGCATTTTGATACCGAACAAGATCCCGTTTTACAAATTTGAAAATTCCAAGCCGTTCCGGAAATATCCGAGAAAAACCGATATATTGCGATTTCGTTTTTATTATTTTTTAAAGCTATTTGAAAAGATATGAAAAAACGGAAAACACTTTTCCATTGGCACTTTTTAATCTCTCCAAATTGACGTTAACAAATTTTCATTACAGCGTTTCGATTCCATGGAACCACCATCAACTTTGATTTTTCTTATGGGACGGAAAAAAAGTACACACAGTATTAGGTTGTGCTTTTCATTGCGAATTCAACGATGTACGATACAATACGGTTACTTATGTTTTTATCCAGAAAAATGGATTTTTAATACATTTCAGCATTTAAATGGAGTAGGCCATGACAAAATGACATCCAGTCAATTTCAATGACACATTAATGTTATTTGTCTTTGTTATCAGTCGATCATAAGTTTATTCCTTTAGTTATTGTTTTTGTATTTTTATTGTTGTTGTCTTTTTCTAATTTATTTTGTTCTACAATGGAGGGAGGTAATTTTACAAACGAAGAAAAATGTGATATGCTGTCTTGCTACATCTGATGCCAAAGAAATTGTGTGGAAGCCGAGCGTATGTATTCTAACAAATACCCAGAGCGGAGACAACCTGACAAGAGTATTTTTCGGCGTTTGTTATTTAATCTGAAAGAATATGGATCATTTAAGAAGCCTGCATTATCCCGACAAAAACCTTCCAATGAAGAAAACCAATACATTGTTCTACAATCTGTTATCGAAAATCCACAAACTTCTACCGGAGAAATTGAAGACCAGAATGGGGTAGCTAAATCTACAGCTCAGTTTATTTTAAGGAAAAATGAATTTAAGCCTTACAAATTCAGAATATGTCAAGGATTAAAACCGGGTGACGACGAACGACGTAGACATTTTTGTGAGTGGTATACCAGGATGTGTGATGAGAGTTTTAATTTTCCATATAAAGTGATTTGGTCTGATGAAAGTATGGTGACCAATAACGGTATTTATAACAGGCGCAATACACACTATTGGTCGCAACAAAATCCACGTGTTAATAGACTATCCAGACATCAAGTTCGCTTTGGGTTTAATATTTGGTGTGGGATTTTTGGTAGCAAGATTATAGGCCCTATTTTCTATAATAATTCCTTAACTTCCGAGCGGTACCTTGACACCTTGAGGCACGATTTAGAAGATACCTTAGATGATTTACCGCTAGGCGCTGTGCAAGGCTGCTGGTTCCGACAAGATGGTGCCCCAGCCCATAACTCCAGAGAAGTTCGCCAATATTTAACTGAACGGTTTGATGGAAAATACATTGGGACTTACAGTGAAACACCTTGGCCTCCAAGGTCCCCGGACTTAACTCCCTTGGACTTTTTCTTATGGGGCTACATAAAAAATGAGGTATTCAAAGAATGTTTTGACAACGAGGAACAATTACGTCAATCAGTACGAGCAGCGTTTAATAAAATTACTCCTGAAATGTTAAGTCGTGTTTTGGAGTCTACCGTGAGACGGGCGTACTTATGCCTAGAAAATGGAGGTCATTTATTCGAACATTTGTTATAGAATTTGTTTTTCATTAACTTGTTGGATTTAGTTGTTATGTTAAATGAACAGTTAGAGTTAGTAAATAAATAAACACATTAACTCGAACTTGTCAACCATTTTCTTTTGCCTTTCATCGTTCGGATCTCATGGCCTACTACAATAAAATACTAGAAATGTATTAAAAAGCCATTTTTCTGGATAAAAACCTAAGTAACCGTATTGTATCGTACATCGTTGAATTCGCAATGAAAAGCACAACCTAATACTGTGTGTACTTTTTTTCCGTCCCATAAGAAAAATCAAAGTTGATGGTGGTTCCATGGAATCGAAACGCTGTAATGAAAATTTGTTAACGTCAATTTGGAGAGATTAAAAAGTGCCAATGGAAAAGTGTTTTCCGTTTTTTCATATCTTTTCAAATAGCTTTAAAAAATAATAAAAACGAAATCGCAATATTTCGGTTTTTCTCGGATATTTCCGGAACGGCTTGGAATTTTCAAATTTGTAAAACGGGATCTTGTTCGGTATCAAAATGCGCAACTTTTGTCTAATTTAACCGACACTGTATCTCTTATAGTTTCCGAGATCCCCATGCTGTGCATCCTTATCTTGGACACACTGTATATATATATATATATTCACGGATGGAAAAATGTAATGACACTATATTCCGGGATATCATCCGTTCGCTTGTTGAACTCCGACTGGAATCCTGCAGACGTTTCGCCAAAATCTCACTTGGCATCTTCAATGCTCGCAGTCCGAAAACACTTCGAACACAGAACACACCAGTGACCCCCACAGATAACACACATGGTGAGCGAAACTTTTGTTGCAGGTTCTATGCGGAGATTTTAACTCACTGCCCGATTCGGGTGTCATAGAATTTTTGGGTACGGGACGGGTGTCGCAAGACCACAAAGACTTCAAGGCGTTGTGTTACAAGACCTGCCTGGAGAAGATTCTAGCCTGTGATAAACCAAATGAATTTACGCATTCCTTCAAGCTGGCCTCCGCCTACAATGACGAAATCATGCCCTTCACCAATTACACGTAAGCGCCACCCACATTTTTTTCTCAAATAAAAAAGAGCCGCTATATTTGGCCAATCTCAGCGTGGTTTCTTAGTTTTTTTACCGTCGAGTATCGGCCATATTGTCGACAGATGAGATACGATACGATATGATATCAAATAATGTCAGCATTTTTCGAAAAATTTAAACTTTGAAATTTTTGAAATTTTAAACTTCAACTTCTAAAATTTTTGTCATTTAAAAATGTCTGATTAAACTGTCTCTTTTTTCTTTGTTACTTTTTTATTATTCAATAGGTTATTCACATTGAATGCTACTAAAGAAAATTGCGCGTATCAGTTCAGATTTTATTTTTTCAGCCTCTTTTTGCCACTTGTCAATGTAGAATTAAAATGTTTCGCATGTCTTGTCTTTTTTTATTGAATCGGAAAATTTCGATGGTCCCATTCTAGTTTCTTTTTTTTACATAAACAAATGTGTCTGATTTGATAATTTCAGATTCGAGTTCAAGGGCATAATAGACTACATATTTTACGCGAAACAAACAATGACCCCCCTGGGTCTGCTGGGTCCGTTGTCGCAGGAGTGGCTGACGCAGAACAAGGTGATCGGCTGTCCGCACCCGCACATCCACTCCGACCATTTTCCGCTGTTGGTTGAGCTCGAAATGGTGCCGACGATATCCGCCCCGATCAACGGCATCATCAGGTAAAGTCGCCGCTTCATATATACTCGAAAATTTCTCACGTTCAACATCTATCATCTTACATTTTTTATAGTTTTTTCATCCATTGGACTCTTTGATTGAGCTACTACTCTTATATTCAAAAAAAGTTTGTATTTTCAGCCATTTGAACTGTTTTGTTGTGTTAGTACTAGAAGCTGTACCATTCTGCCATATTCAAGAAATTTTTTGTAATAACATGCGCACTGTAAAAATTTCTATTTAGAAAAATCTGCTTTTCAGGATTCTCACCTTGTTCCCAAGAAAACTTCTTTTTTTATATAAAGGATAGAAAAATTCTACAAATCAGAGATATTTTTCATAATTCTTTTAGCAGCTTTGAAACATTTGAACAATATTTTGTGTTATTGTGCCAGAGCCAAGAAAAATTCTTCTAGTAACATTTCCAATATAAAAATTTATATATAGAAAAAACTGTTTTGTAGCAGTTTTCATCTAATCCCCAAGTATAAAATTCTGCCTTTTTTTGGAATGACACTGTATGCGTTTCAAAATTTATCAAAATTTGAATTAGCTAGCTATATGATGAGCTGTGTGTACCTCATGATTACTTAGAGGTCCCCCGATTATCTTGGCTTTTGTATTTTTAATTACCTGGCCCTTGAAATTAAGACATGAGAACTGAAAATGCTTTTGGTGCACTTTGTAGTTTGGATCTCAGATTATGTATATCCAAAAAGGTGCATAACATAGAGTAGGACAACATGCGCAACACTTATCTTAATTTGATTCGATTACCGCAGTGTCCCATTGGTTGCCTCAATCAAGTGATGTCGATCACATTACCAAAACAACAGGGATGTGCTAGAACTGGTAATGGTCTTTCGAAATTTTTCGCAGTTTTTCAATGTTCATAAGTGAAAGTTTGCAGGGGCCTAAACATAATAAAACAATCTGGAAAAAAAATGTTCAATATGTAATATGCAAGGTGTTTTTTCTAATTTTTTTCTAATAAACTTCATATGAACATATGTTCTAAAAATCTTTTTTTTTTTATACAAAAATAAAATATATATATTTTTTAATGTCTGCATTACCACTATTTATGTTATTTCATTAAAACCGTGAAAGTTAAAACGACCGTCTAGAGGTTTTTCTCTTAGATATTTTATTTTTCACAAAAAAAGTTCTCGATTTAACCAGTTCAGTGGCTACCTAATTAACCAAAATATTATTTGTTCATTGGCAGTTAGTTGAACGTCACTGCTTTCTTAAAAAAAAAAAAAAGACATTTGCATTCATTTATGAGCAGATTTGATTTCTTAATTCCTCTGCACGTTGTCACATTAACGGCATTGTTATGACCATGCAGAGAAGAGAGAGTGGTTTTATTTTCTTAAGCGAACATCGTACATCGCATTGAAAAAAATCCATAACTTAAATCTATTTGGAATTGTAAAAATAATTTTTATTTTAAGAGAAATCTGTGGCGTATGTCTGCCAAAATAGAGAGGTGAAATTCCGCACGCCCGCCACCGGTACATTTTATAAACATTGTAGTACACGTGGGCCCAAAAATCACCCCCTTGATTATTGACATTCAGTTAAAAAACACTCTGTATAAAAATATATATAATCTAAGGTTTGGGTTTTTTTTCACATGAGAATCTTTAGGAAAAAGAATAATAATAATTTGGGGGAATCTGCGATATGTGATTATATGAACCTTTATCGATAGGTAGCAACCGGCGCTGTGATGTTAGTAAATAGCCGTCGTCGCCTTTGCATTTGCTGTACCTGTTGGACGAGACTCGAAACCACATCAGTCAGTCAGTCGCCGGCAAGAAAAATGCATCGTCACCACACACCCACACACATTGTATCTCACGCGCGTACATTACGTAATGTACATATATTTCTATTTGTATAAAAAAAAATCTAAAAAAAAAAAGAAAGGTACCTGACGGCCTCACTCTCGAACTAATAGAAATGGGAAATTTTTTTCAAACCTGTCAGACCGTCGCGATAGGTCAACAAAACTCCTTCGTACAAGCGCACACAACACACCCACCCCGTATATATTTTTAAAACCTTTTACCTTCTTTTTTTGTCGCGATCGATCGTATTCATTGAGGTTGCTGTGATTTTTTTTACATTTTAATTTATTTCTTAATTTTTAATTGTGATTTACGCCGTATCCTTGGAGCGACGCGACGCGACCTTCCGGCACGCACGTACGCCGCTGTCGCGTCGCGTCGCGCGTCCTCCTAATAATGTAAAAACAAACGAAACGAAAAGAAATCTAGTGAAGCTTTAAGTCTGACGTCATACAAAATCGGTCGATACCGTCGACATATTTTTTAAATCAGAAACGGCTCCTCCTCACTTTGTCTCTAGGTAAACGTATACATAGTGCATTGTTTTTTTTTTACTCGTATATATGTATACTCACGGTAAGTGATAATTTTGTGATCGGACAGGCGATTTCAATTTTTTAAACTTTGTTTAATCCCTTGTAACACGCGCGTCTCTTATTTTTTTGATCTCATCTGGGGGCACAAAGTTACGTCACAGGCCGGTCGATTAGGGAGTAGAAACGGGGTACCGATAATTTCATCTTGTCATTCTAGAGTTGATATGACTCGATCGGAAATTTGGAACAAGGAAAAAATTGTCTGTTTTTTTTTTTTAAAAATCTATATTATGTTGCTCATTTATAGTTTAAATTTTTCAACCAAGTTTTGCTTGAAAAATTCAAATCATAATCAATTGTGCAAAAAAACGTCATACCTAATTCATTTTCTGTTCAGTTTATCATCCTTTTCAGCATTTAAAATGCTCGCGCGCCGCATCATCGGTACCCAATAGCATTTTTGTGACACAAAGGTCCCCATCGATCGGTCTAACCGACCGTTTACGAATTTTGGCAACTATAATGGCGCGAGCTTTTAGCGGCGAGTTAATTGCATCGTCAAACGCGATGTGTCTACAAGAACCCGAAAGATTTAATGTTTAAACCGATCAGAATTAAAATCGCCGTCAAAAGTACCTGCCCGATGCCTATTTTATTTTTCTTTTTGGAAATTAAGACATTGTGCATAACATTTACGAATCAGTCTAGACAAGTAATTCGAATGTCCGCGAGCGCTTATACCCAACGGAGCCGCCTCTTAGCGGTAACTCAACCAAAGAGTGGTCCACTTAAGTAAAACTTTTCCTCATTCCGGGCGCGGTATTCACGAAAATATGGGCAACCTAGCGATTTTACATAAAACACAAGAAAAACAATTAATAAAATTAAAAGAAGCTAAGAGATACCGAATTCATCCTGTAGGAGGCACGTTATGAGGGTAGGAAAATGTTTTGTATGAATTTTTTCCGTTCCATCAAAAAATATGAGAAATTAACCGCATTTTCCGGGACACTCTGTACTTAAAAAAAAACTCACGCCTGCTCGGATCCGAGTGAGACGGATTTTTTTTTGTCGAAAAACCGACGGGCATTCGAACGTACCATTTATTTTTATACGTGTGTAGAAAAATATTAAAGACATTTTGTAAATGTACATAGTTAGGAAGAGAAAGAGAGAGAGCACTTTTTCTACCGCAGTAAATCTGCATATCTGCATGATGATGGCTCGATGGAAAAAACAAATCTGACTTTTTGAGTGTTACGCTGGAATAAACGTTTTACCTATTTCAATGTTAGGAAATTTTAAACTGTAGAATTTCTGTTAATTTAACCGTCCCCTTTTCGGCACTAACTAATTTCGTCATTCGCATTTTGAGTTGGTAAATATATTCCATTATCGTTAAAATGGGAATTGTTGATCTTCGCTCTCTACCTTGGTCCCGAATTATTCAAAAACCTTAAACTACACTTTGTTTTAAATTCCAATTTACGGCGGAGAAACTTAATGCCAATATGTTTACTGCAACTCGAAAGTCGATAAAAAAGAAACCATGTTGCTTTGATAATTTAATTCGATCGAAATCAACGGTGCAATACATCTTTTCTTTTAGTCAATTCTCTAGGTGGTTCAATTGTTGTTAATGGGCGAAAAATTTTTCTGTATCTATTTGGAAAGGTGTGAAATTTCACAGGGGCGAGTATTTAAAAAACCCTATTAAACGTTTGCATTTTTTTTGTCCTGCACGGAACACAACTCTGATGTGTAACTCTTTGGTATATTATGTGTTACTACTAAAGTATTAGCTCCGATAGTTTACAGACTAGCTGGATAGGATACGAACTATGGCTGTTGTAGAAATTTTTTTTTTTTTTAACTAAAATTGCCACGAATTATTGTTTGGTTTGTATACTATCCAGATAATTTACAAACTAATCACAAAAAAATACTTGCCCGCAAATATATTTTAATTTATATAAATATTATATATATAATATAATATAAATATATAAATATTTTTTCCCCGATCTTTTATGTAATATAGTTTCCATATTTTCTTTATACCAAAGCAAAAATTCATTGTAATGACTGTCATACATTAATTTTAAATTTTCCTCGCAAACGCAAAAAACAAGCGTAATAATACGGGCAACACTAAAACAGATAACCAAACCGAATTGGTTAGTACAGTTTGTAAAGTAGTCAAAAACAATTGACAATTTGTTTACTAGTGTGGTTTATACTGGGCCAGGAAATCTTGTACATGATATTGATATTATACAAACCAAGCAATATTCGTAGCTATTTCCATAGAGGTTTGGTCAACATTACCAGAAATCTTGATAGTTTGTATGTTATTCAACTTATTTGTAAACCAGCCAAGTTAACACTAACCACCACCATAGCGGATTTTATTTCAAGCTCTAAAAAAAGTAGGTGCCTTCGTTCCGACCGTACACGGCGTCAGAAGCGCCCTATACGATCGGCCTACGATTTTTGATAAAATTTCTTTGCCCCGAACCTACCCTTCCTTTTCAAATAGCTAGCGATATATCGGGTCGAGACGGAAGTCCAAGTTCCTGTACTTACCGAACCAACGCAGGACCGCAGGACGCGCCCCGTGGCGAAAAGCGAGAACTTCACACGTTTTAGGTATACATAAAATTTTTTGTTGCGTATTAAGGTTTTAAATTTTTTGAGGCCCAAACAATGTATGTGTAAGTCTATAAATCTAGTTAATAAAAATGATTTTAGTAAAGCGCGGGTGTTTTTGGTGTGCCCAACCAAAAAAAAAAAAAAATTAAATCCAAATAAAAATGTTTATTAATTACCCTAACAGTATATATAAATGAATAAGTAGTCACTGCGGACTGTCCGGTATCATTAAATGCGCCGGAAAAGTTGCAACCGATATGTAGTGGTATAACAACAACAAAAACTATCAACTGAAATGCTTGCTCCGATGAATGACGTGAAAAGGGAAAACGCACAACATAAAAAAGATTGGCAAAAACTAGTGCTCGTTATGTATAATATAACAAACTTATCATCTAGCATACCAAATATAGGTATAATTATACAAAAACGACAAAATCTTAGAGGGGAAAGTTCCTTAAACAGTAAGAAGGCAACTCGGCTCGGTACAAATAATTTTATATATATATTTACACATTTTTTAAAGATTACAAAAAATATTTCGACCCGTGGCGGTCACCTTTTCGAAAGCTGAATTATTTACAAAACGTTTTAGCACTACCGAAGAGCCCCATGCTGTATTATACGGAAGCACCATACCGGTTTTATAGCGAATGGACGTAGTGTAAAATTGACGTATTTGGTCGGGTATAGTATATATAGTATAATAGTATTTTTACTCTTCAAGAAGGAACTATCGATTGCAAGCGGACATGCGATCTTATTACCAGGTGGTAAAGTTAAACAGCTTTGTTGGGTGACTATTTAGAATGTAGCAGGAATTTTCTGTGAGTACTTCTCGTACAGTGGCGCGGGTAATTTTTCTTGTCGTCTTGGGAAAGGTATTAAGGTATTCCGACCTTGCCCCAGTTCCTTTTACATATTTCATTTAATACAAAGTACTTTAAGTAATATTCATTGGCAAAAAACATTCCCAAAACCACAACGCCATCAAATAGTAACCAGATGAGCAACAAAGTTTCCTATTCTCACGTAAAGACCACTCGGTGGAAATACTCAACGCCTCTTTTATCAAATAGCTATAAAGGTAGCACCTCCCTTATCAAAACTTCCTGCCACATTCCACTAGCCACCAGCAAACTAATAATCCGTGAAATCCGCTTCAAATCGACGACTTAGGCGTACAGCAGAGGATAAAGTTCGAAAATACAAACACTGTCGGATCGGGGACAATTGCGAATGAATAAATACATCTAATCCCAATCCGAAACTAAATAGACGACTTTTTACCGAATGGCACTACAATTAAGTGAAACCTACCGTTAATTAAATGGAATGCGTTTACGCTAGGCAATGAGGGACAAGAAGGAGAAGGAGGAAGAAGGATTCGGAACCTTCAGAAGCGGGAACAGATCTAAACTTTGCAAGGTGTCGCACGTCGCATCTCTTTCTCTCTCGCACTCTCTAAATATATATAAAATATATAAAAAGCAGTAAATATGTCTAAACGGGAAAGCGAAAAATACTAAGGCCACTTATTCGAGCGGAAAGCTCTATATGTTACAGCGCGAATACTAGAAGGAAATATGCTTAAAAAATATTATTTATAAACACCGATTCGGATCATAAAAAATTGCTGTTTCCTTAATCAATCAATCGTTGAGCATTTGGATAAGGCATTGAACCTTTCAATTTCATCAGTTACTGGTTTGTTTGTGTTTACTTCTTTTTTAAATCGGGAATTATCGTTTTTTTTTTTTCATTTTCGAAAGCGTTATTTTGCATTACTTAACTGGTTTCGACACTTAAGATTTTACATGTTCTCGAACTGGTCGACTCGGCGCTTGGTGTTGCCCTTGCGGATCTCGCGCAACGTCTTGTATTTGTCGCGGCCTTGGCGCACGTTCTCCCTATGGATCTTATCCATCGCAGTTTCCTTCGTTTCGTCTCGCGACTGTGCGAGGTCCTTCTTCAGCGCCTGTAACGTAAAGTGTATAAACGTTACGCCCAACCTTGTTCTAAGGTACGTTCTACTAGGGTTACTTTCTCATACATCAATTGTTTTCAAATAAAGGAAAGACACATTGATATTTTCCGAAAAGTTCCGAAATAAAAATCTTTCAGGCAAACTGACATGCTGCGAGACGTCAGAGGGGTTGGACCGATCGTCTCCGTTTTTTTAGGAGCGGAGCTTTCAGAGGAGCTTCTAGAAGCCCAGCAAACATTATGGCGTCCGAACTTTTAGAGGCACTTTCGGAGCTCGAATTTTTAGAGCAGTTTTTTAAAAAAAAGTTTTAGAATGCGAACTTTTGAAATAGAACTTTTAGAGGATCTTGTAGAGCTTTTGAAGGAGTTTGTAGAGCTCGAGTTGTAAGTCTTACAACTTTCAAAGCTCAAAGAGCTTGAGTAGCTTTTCAAATCAAAGTTTTAAAAAGCAGTTTTAGAATTTCGCTTTTTGAGATAGAATTTTTAGAGGATCTTGTAGAGCTTGTAGAACTCAATCTTTCAGACCTTACAACTTTCAAAGCTCAAGGAGCTTTTTAGAACTAGAGCGTTTTAGAAGCACTTTTAAGATTAGACCTTTTGAGGTAGAACTTGTAAAGCTTGTAGAGCTCGAGTTTTAAGACCTTACTACTTTTAAAGCTCAAAGAGCTTTCGGAGAAGTTTTTAAGACTAGAGCTTTCAGGGAAGCCTTTAAAAAGCCAACTTTTGTTTGCAGTTTGTAGAGGGTGGATATTTTGGAGCTCGATTTGCAGAAAACTTTTACAGGAGTTTTGGTTTTAGAGTTGCTGTTGCAGGAGCTTCTAGAGTTATAGAAAGGAGCCAGCCCAAGCTGAAAATGCAAAATTTTCACACTCTCCCCGTAAATGCTAAATCAATTTCATAAACTTTCTTTGTCAAATTGTACATTTTTTTTGCTGTAATTATGACCCACTGCAGCCAGACTTGTTGGATTAAATTTTAAACTGTATGCTCAGGTATGTTTATAGAAAAAAAAAGATGGATATCCGAGATAACTCGAACCATATCTCCTCTGACAAAACTTAAATAATAAATAAGAAAATTGTTAACTATTTGGCACACTTTTGAAGTCCATTTTCAAAATTTCAGTTTTTTACGCCTACTCCGAAGCGTTACTTAAAAAGTAGAAATGCCCACCGACCAATCGAGCGTTTTTTCCTATTCTTTTTTTTTTTTTAAACTTACAATAAGCACAAGCGCATGACATTTGTGAGTAGGCGACAAAAACACCGTACATAACATGCCAAAAATTATTAGTTCCGCGCGCGACTATTTTTGCGACACGAAAAATACAGTCTTTGGATAATTGGTGCCTCCAACAAGACCACATCAAAGATCACAAAACCGTCCGGTACCTCGTATCGCAGTTTCTTATCTTTGCATAGTCTGCAACAGATCGGAACCTGCAAAATCACATTCGCCTCTAAACCTCTCCGCCGATCTCAAAAGCCCAAGCCCCGCCCACACGGTGCGTGCGTCTCATCCAGTCTCTCACCTGCAACTGATCCTGCAGACGCTCGTTCCTCTCGGCGTGCGTGCGCCTGTCCTCGATCGGGTCGACGATGTTCTCGTCGGTGCTGAGGTCCTTGCTGACGTCACCGTTCACCATTTCGTCGTCGTCGTCGTGGTTGTTCTCCTCGAGGTGACCTTTGGTAGCGTTTGCCAACTGCTGCGCCTTGAGCTCCTCTTCCTTGCGCCGAGCAGCCTCCACCTCGTCCTGGAGGCGTTTCGTTTCCGAATCCTTCGCTTCGACCTCCTCGCGGATGCGCTGTACCTCCGCCTGCTTCGCCTGGATCTCGTCCTCCAATTTTTGCCGTTCCGCCGCCTCCATGTTCTTGCTCTCCTCCAAACGTTCCATCATCGTTTGCAGCTCGTTTTGGCGCTTCTCGAGCTCGTCCTTGGCCGCCTGGAGCTGCTTCAGCTGTTCCTCCAGTCGTCGGATCATCTCCTGCGCCTCGTGCAGGTTCTGTTGGCTCCGTTCCATCTCCTCTTGCATCGCCTTGAGTCGGTCCTCGTACTCCTGCTGTTTCTTTTCGGCGCGTTCGCGGGCCGCGATCTCGAATTGCAGTTTTTCGCGCTGCTGCTGCTTGGCGAGCTTCTCCTCGCGCGCCTGCGCCTTCATTTGCTGCACGTCGATGGTGTCCGGTTTCCGACGTCGCATGTACAACTCGTGGTTGCCCATGCAGAGGGCGAGGATGCGCTTGTTGATTCGCACGCGTGGCGCGAAGAACACGAAATCGGGCGCCTTCTTGTCGATCGGTTTGATGATGAACTTGCGATCGTTGAACGAGATGTTCCGGATCTCGGACCACGGGAAACCGATCTTCGGCGTCAACCTGGGATGGACAAAAATGAAGCACTTAAGTTTTCATTCATTTCAGTAACGAAATTTTATAGAAAACCTTAGCCTAATTGTAAAATTACAAAAACCATTGGCGTTGCAAGTTTTGTAAAGTTCGATGACACATTTTCGTTATTTCATTTATTAAAATTTGGTCCCTTCGGATTTTTAAAAAAGGTTTTATAGCGTTCCCAACTGTTTGGATCGAAAGATAATAGTTTAAGCTGAAATCTGCAGTTTTGATGCGGTTTTAGGTTAGATATGTGTCGGAGAAGCCAAATTTGAATGGAATCTGTTCGAATAAAGGAAGAAAAACCTACTGTCAATCTAAGAAAACGGGTTTTTAAGCAGTCATTTGCAGTTTTAATGTATATTTCACTCTGTTAAGTTATGAAAATGCAGGTTTTGACTATAATCTACTCGAAATCAAGAGCGATAACCATTAATTTGTCCCAAAAAGAGGGGTTTTAAGTACATATCTGCTATTCTAAGGGTAGATTTTAGTTAGATTTCGGTGCAATAAGGGGCGAAAAGGCAGATTCTGACTGGGATTTTATCGAAATCGACAACTATTTGACTCAGAAAGGGAGTTTTACTATAATACTCGCTCGAAGACGCCGATTTTAACTAGTATTTGAAAGATGAATATGTAACTGTTTGGATCAAAAAATGATAGACAAGCTAACCAAAAACTTTTGCTCTTAGACCCTTAATAAATATTCTACAGGCGTTTTGAAACGTAACGTATTCGGGATTTTTAAAAAAGTTTTTTATTAACATTCTGAAAAGCCCGAAGACAAAACGTTTGCTCTTCAATCACATAATAAACATTCTGCAGCTAATATGAAACGTTAAAACTTTTTAAAAAATTCTGGTATTTAATAGCTGCTTTCTTAAAGATGTCCAATCTAATAAAAATTCGTAAAAAATAAAAATCAATATTAAAAATTAAATGCATCTGCTTTTATAGAGCGGGTGCCAAAACTAGTCAAAATGTTTTCTTTCCGGCGATAAATCATCTAAATAGAACTAGAGACAATCCAAAAGAAATAGACCAAACATTTCCTTCAGAACTACATATTTGCAAATATAGAAATGTGTGGATTATTAACAATGAGCAAAGTTTTGCGGTGATTATTAATAGCCGCAGTACCAATACTGGATTATATTGTAATACGTGCAGATTCGGCCGATTCATATAAAATAAAATTATCTCTTTTGTTTATAAAATCGTATTGTTTCCAATCAGCGAGTTTGGATCCCAGATTAACTAATTTCCGTTTTTAACTCTTTCACTGGACCAAAATAGCAAAGACGGTTCCATTTTCCCAACTTAATTAAGTCTTAGGTTTAAGGCTCCAATATCAGTTTTATAAATGCCTTTTTGCAAAGTTATAGAACTATAATAAGTTTCTCAATAACATCATCTATTGTAAGAGCAAAGGACACCCAGATAAGTTTTTTAAAAGTTATCAAACATTTGTAAGAAAATGGCAAACTTTCGCAATTTAAGCAATATTTTGTAACTTGAAGACCTATTTCCTCAAAAATATCCGATAAAAAAAGTTCAGCATTTTAATAGTAAACTAAAATTAAGAGACACAATTTTAACTTTTTCAAATTTACGTTCTAAAGTTGTAGTAAATTTTCAGGGTTTTTTTAGTTTTAATATTTTATAAGGCCCTTTCATAATAATGTCGAAGTAAAAATCCCTGGTTGACAAGTAAAGAAGCAAAATACAACGGCGTTTTTTGTTTTTTTTTTTTTTCGATTAACACTATCGGTAGCTTTAATAACAGTTATAAAATGTTATAAAAACTTACTAGTGGTTTCTAAAGGTAACAGGAGCTTTACAGTTACAAAGCATTGCAACGGTTTTACAGGTGTAACGCGAACAATCGATAGGTTCTCAGGTTTTATAAAATAGGTAACCGATACGGAACCCTAACAATTATACTTACTGGTCGTCCTTTTCGTATATGTTTAGGCCCAGAGCGTCCACACCCAGATACAGTTCGGTGCCCTTTTTGTTCCTGATTTCGAAATAGTTAACGCCGTACATCTCGAGATCCTGCGCGATCTTTAGGTACTCCATCATCGCGTCTTCCCTGAGCATGCCCCGGTGCTCCTTCCACCACGTCATTATGCTATTTTCCCACTCCTCCTTCGACATCTTGTGTTGGTCCATCACCCTGGAACAATCCGACAAGTTGACCGTCAACTCGATCTACTGGTCGCGTATTCGTGGAACCCATAGATCTAACGACTGACAGATGGAGTGTCGAGAGAGACACGGCGTTGGCACAAAAGAGATAGCGGGAATAAGCTATTAGTCAGCTACAATTATTGTAACTTGTGTTTTTGAATACTGCGAAAGTCGTAAAAATCCGTAAGGTAACTCTTAAATTGAAATTCAGGATGTGATTTGCCTATTTTATTTGTAAAAAATTAAAGGGACGGGAAGCGGTATATCCATTCCCAGGTATTACTTCGCGGTTTGATCACTGGAACACATTTGGAACACATTTGGCCAATTCATAAAGAAAATTTTCAGCACTTAGATTATGACAATAAGTTTGGTCACATAAGGGTGGAGCTTTTTCTTTTTGGTTCTTCAAAAACATCTTCAAAAAAAAAAAAAAAACAAAGAAGTCTCCTAGGAATAGACCTCGGAAAAAATGGAAAGTGATGAATCAAGATCATGAGATGACTATGTACTGGACATCGAGATGTTATGAATTTACTTTCTTATAAGACTTCAAATCAGAAGGCCAGTTGATTTTGAAGAATAGTGGCTGATTCAGAAAGAAAATTGTCAGCACTTAGCTTAGGCTTTTAATTTGCACCTAAAGATTATGCCAATAAGTTTGGTCACATAAGGGTGGAGCCTTTTTTTTTGGTTTTTCAAAAACATCTTTAAAAAAAAAAACAGAGAAGTCTAATAGGAATAGATCTTAGAAAAAATGAAAAGTGATGGATCAGGATCATGAGATGACTATGTACTAGACATTTAGATGTTATGAATTTATTTTCTTTTAGACTTCAAATCACAAGACAAGTCGATTTTGAAGAATAGTGGCTGATTCAGAAAGAAAATTTTCAGCACTCAGCTTAGGCTCTTAATTTGCACCTAAATATTATGACAATAAGTTTATTCACATAAGAGTATAGCCTTTTTTTTGGTTTTTCGAAAAAAATCTTCAAAAAAAAAACAGAAAAGTCTCCTAAGAATAGACCTAAGAAAAAATGGAAAGTTTAAAATCATGAGATGACTATATACTGGACAATTAGATACTATGAATTTATTTTCTTTTAAGACTTCAAATCAGAAGACCAGTCGATTTTGAAGAATATGAAAAAGGTGAAATTGTGAATTCAGTTAGTGCTAAAAATGTGGCGCATGTCTATATAATTTGATCAAATCTAATTTGTAAAATACAATAATAAAAAAAATATTTAAAAAAAAGGATAGGAATTTGATCATTTTTCTTTTTTTTTTACCGATGCCGTAAACGCCAAGAAATACGTTGTCGGCATAGTTTCCTTATGTACATTTTGTTCCGCATTAAAGCATTTTAAATGAAATACTGCGGATTTTTGCCCATAGTCACGTGATAAAAATATTTTTTGTCCTTGTCGAATGTACACGTTGAATGGCGCTTTGCTTTGCCGCTGGTATAGGATAAACTCCGTCTATGTATTTAAAGGTCTTTGGTTCATTTGAACTACCGGGGATGGTTTTAGCGAGCCAACGGCCAGTTAAGTAATTTTGATTAAGTTTAATTGCTTTCCTCCGAAGGCGTGACTAAGTCGCTAGTTTGAATACGTATAATCAGCGCATTCCAGAGGAAACAGACAGTTTTAGGTTGGAGCGCCTTATCTATAGCGGCGCGATGCTTAATTAGCCTCGAAAAACGTTATCTCAAAACCCACATACGCTACATATTGTTATTTCGGTCGATTGTCAAATTTTGTACCGGGCCTATTAGAGGATACAGTAGATGACAGAGAAACGTTTCGATCAAGGTCGAAAATGTACCTTCAAGCTTATTATTACGATGACAACAATTACAATAAAAGAAAGGCAGCACCATCGGGATAATTAATTAAAACCAGTCGTGTCGAAACGATCTATCCGATAGTTAAGCGTGAAGCAAAACCGTACGTTCCGGCGATCTGATTTAATGACAAAAAAACAATATTCCCAAATGTTTTCTATTTTTTAATAAACATCTAGAACTTTTGCAACACCAGACAAAATTATAGGGCCCTCAAGGTCGCAAGAAAACATTAAAAAGGGATAACAAATACATTTTAAGAATTCCGATAGTATAGGCGACATGTTTTTTTTTTCTTTGTAATACGCAGGGCGTCTATGAACTAAATTTCTATTCTAAACACACACTTTTGTAGAAAAAAATGGCGGCCACTGGTTTTTACAACAATAAAATTCTTTCTGGAGCAAAAACCAACATTATTTTTGGTATTGATATTTTGTTGAAATATAGTACTCTCGTACCATGTTCAGAAAGATACATTTTTGATAAAAATTAATTTTTCTGCACTCAAAAATAATTACGACATACAATTACATTTTCTTATTAGAATTACCAAGCGATGCAGAGAGGGAAATGTAAATGCGTTTCTGGTGTATTTATGTTTGTGTTGGCGTAGTTCCAAAATATCAGGCACAAATTGAAAAATAAATGAACTGTTTATTACATACCTAATCATTTCACAAAGTTATAACAGTTTTATTCATTATACAGGGCGTTATTGAAATGGCGTCAAATAATACGACTGGGTCTCAGAGTTTAGAAGAACCAAACATTGTCTCAATTCCGTTCTACTTTTTTCATTGAAGGCAATTTTTTCCGAAGTTACGTTAGCAGGGGCAGCTACATACCATGTCTTTTCTCAATTTTTCGATCCTCTATCATATTTTTGGAGAAAAAGTTTAAAAGCCGCTATAATTGTTCAATAATGCGACAGTAAATAGTAGGTAATCAATATAGCGTTTTTTTTTAATATAAATTTTACCAACTTATAAGCCTTCGAAAGTAAGAAAAGACACGTAGGTGGCACTCTTTACAAGAGGCAAATTAACAATAAATGTTCTTTCAAAAGACGGCATTGTTTTACGAAACTGTGCGGAAAAAACTAAAATAAAATAAATAAAATAAAACTTTAAAATACTTGAAAGCGGCTCTTGTGGCCTCTGATTTTTGAAGTATTTTATTACCCGGCGGTAATTATTGTACGACTAAAAATATAGTGCGTTTATTGTTTTGACGTTTAAAGTATTTTACAGTACCCCAGTACAGTACGATTAGTGGCGGAGTTGATCATTGTGGTGACAACAGTAACGGGTAGTGACGATTTCTTAAGTGACTGATACTTTATTACTACTATTATATTTAATATTTTGGGTATTAATAATGATACTATCTTGAAATGTAATGAAATAGAATGTAATAAATTGTTACTTTTTACTCATTTTTTTATGTACATGTTTCAAGAATTGCTCGGCCGAAAAAGATCGAAAACATACGCATATCCCGTTTCTTAGTATAGCAAGATAAATTCCTAGAACGGGTAAGGGCCGGTCAGGGTGTTCTATAACGGGCGCTGCAGTTATTCACGGGGTAGGTTGTAAAAACACAATATTTCTGGTCATGGTATACTAACCTCTGAGGTAGAAGCCGGTCGTTTGACAAAAATCCCGGCTGATGCGAGGACTTGTTGTAATCGCCGTGGCGTGCCTGGACGGCGTAGGAAGCGAGCAGGACGGATGTTTCGGGTGGGCAGTATATCTCGTCCGACAGGATGGCGTTCTTCACCTGGAGGTAGAACAGACGCAGCGTGATATCCTGGATCAGCTCCTCGGCGACGTCCTCGGGATAGAATTTTGCGCGGAATTTGAACTGCAAAGGGTTCTCCTTTTTCACGTCCTGCGCCATAACCTAACAAAAAAAAACACGTATAGCAAGGTTTATTCGGGTTCCTGCTGTCACAATTCTAGAACTATCAGGATTGTGCTCAGTCAACATTAACAAGTTCGGGTTTTTCTTGAACCTGTCTTGAACTGTCTGATTGGAGTTCGGGTTAGTTACGAAACAGTTTCCTAAACAGTCCCGATTTGTCGATTATTGAGGTTATGTGAAATAATCATCGAAATTTAGAGACAATACAAATTTAACAAAAAAAAAAGAAAAAAGCTTAGCGATTGTCGGATTCTAATAAAACACACAATAAGTATCCTCAAGCAGAGGGTTAGACAAGTGTATTACTTAAAGGCTCACGAAATGACATTTATTTTCCATTTTATTCAAGTCTGTATTGTTATAACAAATTGTGATGTAAAGATGACAAAGTCATGACAGTTAAGTAGTTGCGTTCGAGTTTCGCAAATTCGAAAACAATTCACAAATAATTCAAGGACCAAGTATGCGGCGCTTCTCGTTCTACGCAGTTCAAAATCATCCCCAAAATAATAAAACGTGTAAAACTGCAGAGACAATTCTAAAAAAAAGCGTCCAACGGACGCGCAAGCGCATCGTGGCTGTGATATAATAAATGACGTACGCGCCTGTCTATTCTTTTCTTTGTGCTGGTATAAAAAACTTTCGTGAAAATATCCGTCCTAAAATAATATTTTTCTACAATTTTAAATGTTATGCACTTAGAATTATATCAGAGTATATCTTAAAGGACGTAAGTATACCTTTAGCACAAATTTCCAATAGCAGTGCCTTGCAACTCTTGATTTCTTTGGCGTTAATGATTTTTACATTATCACACCATTTTTAAGGTTCACAAGGGTTTTCGTTATAACATTTTAATGCTTTGAAAGAGCAATTTCGTTGTTTAGAAGTTTAATAAAACCACTTCTTTAATAATCGAAACGTTGTAAAGGTTCCGCTTAATTTCGATCGCCAGTAAAAATGTCACCGGCTCGTTACGACGTTAATTGCAAAGCAACTGCAACTATAAAGATAACTTTGCAATTAAAATCGGAGCTTAGACAATTATTTAACATTCCGATAACGAAAACGCTCTTAAATAGCGGCGGTACCGCGAACTATTGCCTAACAAGCTTTAAACGGCACTTAAAATGTCACTAATACCCCTGTCGGCCAAGAAACAATTTCCTCGAAATACAATAATCGGAAAAAATCGGTTCGGGATTAAAAATTGTTAGTTAAACTAACCTAAAGTTGAAAAAAAAAGGATGTTACGTTTATTTACTTGCACCGCCAGCCACGTCGTCCGTAATTTTTGTTACATTTTACGATATCCGTATTTACAGTCATGCGGCTCCCACGCCTTGGCGATCACGATTTAAATATCCGCGAAGTTGGTAAACAGACATATCTCGTGTTTTCAATTATCCTAAATTATTCAAAAATAGCCCATGGTAGATCATCGACTAATGCCGGTAATGAGCGACTGTCCTTAGGTATGGTCTGTTCATAGATATAAGAAAGTGACCAATTGCTTTTGAATGGGATTATCCAAGGGTGGTCATTAACATACAATGCAACAAGATTATTACCTAAAATTTCGGAATTTAAATTCAGGTAAAATTGGGGTGCGTAATAGAAAATAATTTTATAATTACCTGTGTTTAATATTCTTTGGTTTGGTATACTACTTAGTTTAAGTTTATTAGTAATCTTATTTGCGTGTGTTAAATCGTGTGCGAATTATGCAAAATATGTGGGAGTCTAGTGTATCTCCCGCCCAAATGTAGAAAACACTATTCTATTGAGACTAAGAAAGTTATAAACAATGTTTATTTGACTCTTTAGAAGAAACGGCTATAGTGATATTATGTGAATAATTTTAAGTAATTTAAGTAGGTAATAAAAATAATTTGTAATTTTATTTTACATTTAAACATAAATACATACTACATAAATAAATAAATATTGTTTAGTATCTATCCTAACAAAACCCCAAATAATTAAATTCTAAGCAAAGTACGGACACGTTCGGCCATATTTCATTCTTACAGCTTGCCCGGGTCTTTCATTAATTTGTACCAGTTAGTCACTTTTTTATATCTATGAACAGACCTTAATATGCCCAACATAGTAAAATTGAGCGAATATATGCGAGACGTATTCAAAAAGTAAGGTGACTTTCGATCTTCGATATCTTTTGTTGTTATGTTGGCACTCATGTTCCTAACATAAGTTCACAGTTTCAGCCAGTTTACACGCTTATTTTTTTTTTGTAATAAAGGAGCATTAGGCGTGTTTTGTATACTCGGCGATTTTCTGCTGTTAAAGAAAATGGAACAAGAAATTTTCATTTTTTTTCCTCGTAAAAAATGGAATACAGCGCTGCAAAACACTTAAAATGTTGACAACGGTATATATTTTGAGCAAAAAAAAAATATTTGTAAGTGGTTCAAGCTCGCTCTGGACGCCCCAGCACATCAATAACTGATGAAAGCGTTAAAGAAGTGAAACAAATGGTGTGGAAGAATCGTCGAATCACTATTAGAGAAGTGGATTAAGACGTCGGCATCTCACTGGCTCCTGCAATGCAATTTTTTCCGAAGTTTTAGACAACGCACCGCTCAATGATGATCCTGATATGCCGCCGAAACCAAAGCCTAGTCGTCCCACTGGAAGAACCAGAATCGCCAAAACCAAAAAAAGCACGTCAAGTTCGATCAAGGGGATAATATCGTTGCTTGTATCTAATGTTTTGACCAAAAACAAAACAACATACATGCCTCAGCCACCATATTCACCGGATATGGTCGTGTGCGAAACTAACCAAAACTTAAAAGTCCTTACTTTTTGAACACACCTCATTATGCTATGATTAAATATCAACCGCCGTTGTAGTCTATAACTGCTTCATTAACTTTAAGATTTCGAAACACCCAGGACCTCTTTAATATCAATTACATAGCAGTTACCTGTGGTCTGTGCCTTGGGTGTTGTAAAATAGGAGTGACGAATTTAAAGAGGAAATTCTGGTTGCCAGTGCATGTAGCGCAACTCAAGACGTCCCAAAGTTGAATAAATTGAGTTACGACTTGTGTATGCTTTTCGGTCTTTATCTGTATCCGCTGAGCTAGTTGAAAAAATACAAATGGATATTTATTAATAAGAATGAATTCGCAATTGCAAACTACAAAACTACCCAAACAAAATACCCACACAAAACAAAAGTAAACCGATAATTATTTTTATTATTTTTTTGTTTAGTTCCGTTTGAAAATATTTCTTTCTATTTACAAATCTTCTGGATTCCTCTACCGGAAGAGGTTGTCGACAAAACGTTTTGTCAATCATCTATCTATCGGTGAAAGGTGAAGACCTGAGCCGCCGTTAACATTGGTTGTTTTTTGCTAGAAGAATTGATTACATGCAAAAATTTTGGTTGAATAAAATTTCATGTCCGGTCTCATGGTTCAACAACTGCTGATCGGTTTACTTGTTGTGGTCTTAAGACTCTTTCATGTCCTTTGAGCCTCGTTGATATTTTTCGTGGTATGCTCTTGGTATCTCAAACGAATTTTTTTCTTTGACGCATCGAATATATTGAGAGAGTGGTAAATCTGGTTTTAACATTATATAGCAAGTATTGAGTTGCTTTCGGACTCATTTCCTTTAAGAAGTCGTGGTGAAGTACATTTTCCTTAGATGGAATGCTTAATATCTCTAATGTGGAAATTATTAGAGAGAAGAGAATATGGAGGGGTTTTAATTCTAGGTTTAGTGACTCTAGTTGAGGTAGTTATGAAAACTAGCTCCGTAAACAAGCGATGCATTAAGGTATCCGTTTGTGTGCGAAGATTGACAAAGTGCTACATCTGATTTTACATTACCAAGAGTATCCAAGAATGGGAGATTTATTATCGTTTCTTATTGCGGAACGTATGTTAGAGTAAATCGAGTTTTGGCTAAACAAATAACCAAAATAACAACACCAAAGTATCATGATTTTGGATTTAGATTGAAGGTGTCGAGAACTTTCTTTTCAAAATCTTTTATAAAAATATTTGCGACCAAAAGACAAGCATTTTTCAATTAAGATGGAGTCGTCGAACGTCGAAACTAATCAGAATATTGTTTCGATATAATGTAATCGCTTTAATTGTTGAATGAAGTGAAATGAGAGGGTTTTAATATAGAAGCTAGATATTTTGCTAGAGAATATATTGGACAACAATAAGTCCAAGGTCGAGAGTTTCAGTTTAGTTCTGAAGAAGCCAAACCGAGGCAGGACGAATCCAGAAGATTTGTAACTAGTATTACAGTAACCTGAGGGAGTTTCTTAGGAAAATAATGTTTCCTAATTTTGTAATAAAACGTATTTTCAAATTGGAACATAACTAACTGTTCTGGTTCAAATTTCCCGCCCCATAAGAAAATTAGTTCGTTTTATAGCACACGGCGGCTCATCAGTACGGTTTCGATATTTACTACCAATTTTTCATTAGCGGTCTTCATGCGTCTTCGGCAACAACTTTGATGCAGCACTAAAAGAAGAAGAAAACGAATAAAATGAAAAGAGCAGACCAGTCGCTTTAATAACGTTGCATTTAATTACGGACGTTTTTCTTTTCACTCGAAAGCGCACCGGCAACAAAGGCGACAGTTATCGCGATTGGCCGGGCGTAAAAAGTCTACAGCGGCAACAAATCGCGATTATGTATAATGAAAATCGTTCGCCGCTTGTTGCCATGGCGGGATTTGCAGCGAATCTTATTTTGTGGCGATAAAGAGTTGATTTTTTTCCATGGAGAAACGATCTTCACTAGAATTTCAGTTGTTTGATTTTGCTAAGTAGTCATGATCGTGACACAAAAGATGTCTAATAGACTAAATTGAGACAATCGAATCGTAATGCATGCAATTTGTTCAGTTGGTAATTAATATACTGGTATTCGAACGTGAATTATGTCACGACCCATCCCTACACCCATAGGAAGAAGATG